TATGTCCTTTTTTGTTTTTTTTTTTTTTTTTTTTCTTATCATGCTGCTGTTTTTACAATGCTGCTGTTCATGCTGTTGTTTATACTGTTTTGTATGCGGTTTTGTTCTTTTATATCTGTCCTGTGGTGGCCAGGTGACGCCCCTGCTGTGTCCTTAGTCACATCCCACACCTTAGGCCAGTCCTCTAGTGGAGGACTCATTTTTGCAAATGAGGTGACTGCTCTGGGGAAAGGCCTTTTTTCTCCTTCCCACAGAGGTCATCTCATTACGATCTGCTTTTTCTTATGTGGATTGAATTACATCATTCTTCCTTTCTATTTTTTTTTTATCTTTTTTTGGTCTGTGTTGACTTCCATCCAGGCGACTGTAGGGGTTAAATTTTTCTTTCTGTTTCATTATATTTACCCAGTGTACTTCATTTGGTCAAATGAGGAATTCAGTGTATGTTACCAGTCTGAATATGCTCCTTCTCTGATACTGTACCTATGGCCAGTAAGTTGAACACTCTAAATATCTTGACCTATAATTTTCGGGGGCTATGCTCTCCTCAAAAGAGGGGTTGCCTTTGGCAGGAATTGCGGCATCTGTCCCCTGATGTGTTTTTTTTACTGGAGACGCATTTCACTGCCAACTCTACCCCGCATATGCCCCCTATGACTTTTGATCAGTGGTTTCACAGTGTCTCCCCTGTAGCCAAGCCCAGGGGGGTTCGATTGCCATTCGGAGAACCTGTCCATTCTCTCTTTTGTCTCAACTGATTGACCCTGAGGGTCGTTTCATATTTTTGAAGGGTTCATTGCATGGTCATATGTACCCTTTTGCGGCACTCTATGCTCCAAATGCCCGCACTGTTGACTTTTTGTCTGCTATCCTAAAAAAACTGAAAGATTTTAGAGAAGGTATGGTGATTCTGGGGGGTGATTTTAATGTTTCCTTGCACCCTTGCTCAGATACGTCTTCTGGCAGAGCTTCTTTACCCTTTCGTCCACTGAGGCACGTTAAACGACTCTTGCATGATCTTCACCTGGTGGACAGCTGGAGGGCAATGCACCCCCGGGACAAAAATTATAGTTACTATTCCAAGACGCATGATTCTTATTCGCGTTTGGATCTTATTTTTATTGATCAGTTTTATTTGCGTGGCGCGCTTACGTCATCCATTGTTTCTATCACCATATCTGACAATTCACCTGTGGTGCTATTTGCCTGCCGGCAGCCTACTGGTCTGGAAAAATAAATTTTAAAAAATTTCACTATTCAAGATATTAAAATCCTTCGACATTTGATGTGTAGGTAATTTCCACAGAAATATATTATGATATACTGCTTAGCCATTATCTAAAATACAAGTGATTATCTTGTGGGAATCACTGTAATTGTGTATGATGTTTTCCCTACTCATATAGTTCCCAGCCTTGCTATAACCTATGTCCTTTCTGTAAACCTTGTTATCATATTTATTCTGTTTATAACTTTAGATGCTGCGCTGTTGCGGCCGAGTGCTGTATGAGTATCAATTTTTTTGTGTGTGTGTGTGTATATATATATATATATATATATGTATACAGTATATATATGGATATGCATCCTGCTGCAGTTTCCCGTCCCAATTGGGGGCTGGACCTGCTATTGCTCCTTTGTTTCTCTCACTGGCCTGATGGGTCGTCGTTTGGGCCTGATGTGCGGTTGGGTGTCCGCGGTGTCCCTTGTGGCCCCCTTGTTAGGGGCCGGATTTCCGCGGTTTGGCAGGGACTCTGTTCCTCCCTATGCACCTGTGCAAGCCGAGCCCCGCTGTGCCAGATGGCTCATGATGGCACCAGATGGCTCATGCATGGCAGTGGCACGCCGGCGTCATCACTGATGGCTGGATGCGGTGACGTCATGTGTCATGATGCGGACGCACCGCACCTGGGGTGCTATAAGGGCCTTGGTTTACTAGCCGCCCAGTGCCATTCTTTCAGGGTGGTGAAGCCCTGCGGATTATCAGAATTATTAGCCTTGTGGCTCAAACCTGTTTCCGTGCCCTCTGTGGCTGTGGTCTCGCCGGATAAAATTGAGCACTACATTAACATTTTTTTCGGTAAGATAACTTTTTTGAATCAATTGTGATGAATTTATAAAATTGAGCGACATATAAGATATTAAACTGCCTTTATTTATAGTTACATCCTCAGACCTGCCTTCCAATGAAAGGCTGGGCCTACCTTCTCGATACCCCTAAATATTTGACGGGCTGGCCTAGGTGTATTATCCTGTCGCACTATCGTGACTGAGAGTCATCTTCTCTTAGCTGGTACTGTATGTCATTGTAGTTGATGTTATCATACAACTGACTACTTGGATGGGTGTTGCTATTTGTCCAACAGAGATGTTTTTCCAACTTTTTCAGCTTTTGAATGTTTGAGGGTATTCTCCCCTCCTTTTTCTTTGGCAATTGTTGCTTCGTGGGAGGAAAAGACCTTTTCCTGTGGAAGGGCTTGATTTGTGATACAAATACTTCTATTAAAGGTAATGCTCAACATAATATTATTATTGGGTTGGCAAATTGAGGATAAAATGTATTTCTCTTGTAATTCATTATATACACATGCTATTATGATTTTGTGGGCTAAACCCTAGTATATACTACTTTTAGGGGACACAAAATAGGGGACACAAAATCCCCTTTATGATGATTTTTAGGTGACAGGTTCTCTTGAGACATGCAGGGTCTGGGAGCTGTGGAACTGATCGGGCAGCAGTGCCAGTTTTATACACAATCCTGGAGGCAGCAGCCACTGGATTGTGTATAAACCCCCCGCTGTCAGGTCCGTAAAAGGTACGGACCTGGCAGTGAAAGGGATAAAGTGTTACTAAACCCAACACAGAACATAGAAATGCATATCTCCCAACTGTCTTTGGTTCCAAGGGACTGTCCCTGATTTGGAACAAAGTCCCTTTGTCCTTCTTTGCTCTTCATTTTGGTCTAATCTATATAGTTGTATATAAAATGCACTATTAGGGCCAGTTCACACTACATGCGTTTCAGTGTGCATTTTTCTGCATCCCACAGAAAGTAGATTATATGGTTCTCAATATCATAGTTCACATCAGTGCTTGCAGTTCCAGTGCGTTCTGGTTGCAGAAAAAAAAAGTAAAACAGGTTTAATTTTTCCTGCACAGAACTGTATTGGAACACAGCAAAATGCCTCAAAAACACACCACCGGAATGCACCAAAATCGCACTGAAACACCCATGTCCCTTTTTACATGAATGCAAAAATGCACTTGCAGAAGCGCATTCCGGCACTCATCTGGACTGCATTTCTATGGTGTGAACTGGCCTTTAATCTTTCAAAAAGTGTTTCATGGTGCTAAACCTTTCATCCGGTTTCTAAATTGCATTTGTAAACTTCAAAAGCCAGTATAAAGGAATAGTAGTTGTTAAAAAAAAAAAGCAATTGTGGGTTTAACTAATCTTTTTTTTCCCCTGTATAATTCTCCTTTAAAGAGACGTGGCAGGATGTGTGTCCTATGCCTACATACATTTGTTAATAGGTGTCCCTCGTTCTCATCTCAAAAAGTTGGGAGGTATGGAAATGGAATTATTTAGTAAATATAAACCGCTAAGTACCTTTTATGATCAGCAATATATAATAGTCTTGTAAATTCTATCAGTGTCCAGCTGAGCATTGTTCAGTCTTGTAGGAGGAGTTTTCATTCTTCTCTGACTGTGAAGCTGCATGACCCCTGACCCTCTGAACAGTGCTGATTGGTCCTGTGCTGATCACGTGCACCCTCTCAAAAAAAAAAACCTCTCTAGCAATACACACTAAAACAGAGCATGTGCAGACTTGCCACTGCTGCTCTGTACTATGGCAGATGGATTGGGGACAGTAAAATAAGGGGAGTGTCAGGGCTCCGGGTATGACCAGAGGTATGTGAACTGACGCAGGGAAACGCAGGGTTCAGATATGTTATAAACAATATAATTTATTAATACTAACAATACATAAACGCAGTGCAATACTAAAACATAACACAGTGCAAACGAACCAAACCAAACCACAGATAACAATACATACAATGCAAGCGTCGTCAGGCAGGCCGGGTCAATAACAATCGGGCAGGTAGGAACAGGAGGAGCAGGCAGAGAGTAGTCAGGTCACGAGCCGGGTACAGCAACTAACGGGCAGGTAGGTACAGGGGGTCAGGCAGAGAATGGTCGGGGTCACAAGCCAGGGATCAAACAGGAGAAGTCAGCAGAGGTCCGGATCAGGCAGGGTCAGCAACGAATCAGTCAGACAGGAACAGGAACAGGAATGCAGGGAACAAGATACAGGGCCCAGGAAAAACACACACCAAGGCCGAGACTGCAGGTCTGGCCATCCCTTAAATACACCTGCATAATCAGCTTCAGGTGTTTGGCTGGCTGCAGGGTTGAGTCTCTGATTGTTGGGAGCACCCGCTGGCCAGCCCTGGTACTGCAGCCCACAAGGCAGGTGAGTCCCACCATTACTGGCAAGTCCATTCCTGACAGTACCCCCCCCCCTCAAGGAGTGGCCTCAGGACGCTCCAAACAGTCCTAGCTGGGCAAACTGTTCCACCCCCAGGTCTGGTAACTGGCGGGATATCAAAGACTGGCACATCGGGCTGAACTCCGGGCAGAGGCACATCGGGCTGGACTCCGGGCAGAGGCACATCGGGCTGGACTCCGGGCAGAGGCACATCGGGCTGGACTCCGGGCTGAGGCACATCGGGCTGGACTCCGGGCAGAGGCACATCGGGCTGGACTCCGGGCAGAGGCACATCGGGCAGGACTCCGGGCAGCGGCACATCGGGCTGGACTCCGGGCAGAGGCACATCGGACTGGACTCCGGGCAGCGGCACATCGGGCTGGACTCCGGGCAGGCGGCACATCGGGCTGGACTCCGGGCAGCAGCACATCGGGCTGGACTCCGGGCAGAGGCACATCGGGCTGGACTCCGGGCAGAGGCACATCGGGCTGGACTCCGGGCAGAGGCACATCGGGCTGGACTCCGAGCAGCGGCACATCGGGCTGGACTCCGGGCAGAGGCACATCGGGCTGGACTCCGGGCAGAGGCACATCGGGCTGGACTCCGGGCAGAGGCACATCGGGCTGGACTCCGGGCAGAGGCACATCGGGCTGGACACCGGATCAGCAGGCGGAGCGCCGGGCCACCAGGCGGAGTGGCGGGCGCCGGGCCACTAGGCGGAGCGGCGGGCGCCGGGCCACCAGGAGTGGCGGCGGGCGCCGGGCCCCCAGGAGGGGCGCCGGGCCCCCAGGAGGGACGGCGGGCGCCGTGCCCCCAGGCGGAGCGGCGGGCGCCGGGTCATCAGGCACGACAACGGGCATCGGGTCACCAGGCATCAGGTCATTTGGCTCGCCAGCGGGCACCGCGTCATCTGGCAAAGCAGTGGGCACCGAGTCACCAGGCACGACAGTGGGTTCCGAGTCAACTGGCATGACCACGGGCACTGGGTCAGACATTGGATCGTCTGGCTCGACAGCGGGCATCGGGTCACCAGGCATGACAGCTGGTACTGGGTCATCAGGTACCGGATCGTCTGGATCGACAGCGGGCATCGAGTCAACTGGCCTAATGGAATCATCAGGCTGGATCAGTTCATCAGGCTGGGTAGAAACATCATGCTGGGTAGAGGCATCAGGCTGGGTAGAGGCATCAGGCTGAATTGTGGGCGCCGAGGCACCAAGCTGCACCACGGAAGGCAGATTCTCAGATGGGAGGCTGACCGGTTTGGATACTGGCAGGATGGTATTGGTTGGAAAGAACTTTCGCCTTTTCCTGGTTTTAGTTACCGGAGCACTGTAAGTAAGCGCAGGTTTGTAAACGGATGGAGCAGCTGGAGACAGAGAAGAGCTGGAGGATGGAACGGGAGGGAACAGTTGCTACAGAGGGCTTCTTTACAGGGTTAAAGGCAGGATAGGTGCAGCGAGTGGGAACAGGGTACTGACATGCGGTAGATAGCAGGGTATACTGGGCTGTAACTGGAGGTGCTGTTGGGAATGCAGGAATAGAGCTTTGAAGAAATAGATTAGAAGCAGGGCTGGGTTTTTGCAAGCTGACTGAGAGCTGGGTGTAACAAATCTGACCATGTCTGCAGTATGGGTTGAACAAAGCTCAGCTTACACAAAGCCTGTCTGACCAAAGACTGCACTGCGTTTATACAATCCCTTAATACCTGTATTGAACATGCAGCATAATGCTCAAAGAAGCAATCCACATCATCCTCTAATAACCATACCAGGGACTCTACCTGGTCTGCACTAAATGGTGGCAAAAAGTCATTCCTGCTTTCAGGGGTACCAGATGAAGCCAACTCTACACAAACCTGAATCAAAGGTTGCACTTCAGAGAACTCTGTGCCCTGATCTACTAGAACATGAGCAATCCGTATACATTCTAGCAGTTGATCCCGGGTATACTCCCTCAGAGCCTGATAAGCATATTCTCTGTCATCAAAAACCAGCAGCGACAAATACACAACCTCATCAAGATCCATCCTTCCCAGCGACAAGCCAAGATGGCTTCCCTATGCAGCCACTTCTGGTCAGGATTGGCCTTGGGTAATGTCAGGGCTCCGGGTATGACCAGAGGTGTGTGAACTGACGCAGGGAAACGCAGGATTCAGATATGTTATAAACAATATAATTTATTAATACTAACAATACATAAACGCAGTGCAATACTAAAACATAACACAGTGCAAACGAACCAAACCAAACCACAGATAACAATACATACAATGCAAGCGTCGTCAGGCAGGCTGGGTCAATAACAGTCGGGCAGGTAGGAACAGGAGGAGCAGGCAGAGAATAGTCAGGTCACGAGCCGGGTACAGCAACTAACGGGCAGGTAGGTACAGGGGGTCAGGCAGAGAATGGTCGGGGTCACAAGCCAGGGATCAAACAGGAGAAGTCAGCAGAGGTCCGAATCAGGCAGGGTCAGCAACGAATCAGTCAGACAGGAACAGGAATGCAGGGAACAAGATACAGGGCCCAGGAAAAACACACACCAAGGCCGAGACTGCAGGTCTGGCCATCCCTTAAATACACCTGCATAATCAGCTTCAGGTGTTTGGCTGGCTGCAGGGTTGAGTCTCTGATTGTTGGGAGCACCCGCTGGCCAGCCCTGGTACTGCAGCCCACAAGGCAGGTGAGTCCCACCATTACTGGCAAGTCCATTCCTGACAGGGAGGATCAGAGAAGACAGGATCAAACAGCTTTTTACACAAAAATCAACCCTTAGGTTCCACAGTGAATATAACTGCATGCTTTACTGCATACACAGGTTATATGCACCAATATATTGGCTGCCAAAAAATATCATCTGAAAATAGGGTTATCAGCATTTTGCGGATAAAAAAAAGGTGCTAATTATAATGCATGCTGCGTTCCATAGACTTCAATGCAAAATCGTGTCCTATTGACTTCAATGCAAAATCGTGTCCCATAGACTTCAATGCAAAATCATGTGCCATAGACTTCAATGCAAAACCGTGCCCCATAGACTTCAGTGCAGATTCACATACCATAGACTTCAATGCAAAAGCACCACCTAGTGACTTCAATGTAAAATCGCATCCCATGGACTTCAATGCAAAATCATGTTCCATAGACTAATGCAAAATCACGTCCCATAGACTGTAATGTAAAATCACGTCCCTTAGATTTTAATGCAAAATCACATCGCATAGACAGCAATGCAAAAATGCCCCCTAGTGACCACAATGCAAAATCGTGGCCCTTAGACTTCGATGCAAATTTTAGTCCCATAGACTTCAATGCAAATTCACATCCCATAGACTTCAATGCAAAAACACCTCCTAGTGACTTCAGTACAAAAATGCTAGTCACATGAATTAAATTTTAAAAAATTTTTTTCAAACTGTCCATTTCGGTTTCGGTTTACGGCAAAGTGCATCCTGATGCACCACTAATTATAGCGCCTACAAACTTTGGGATATATGCTGGCATTTTTTTTTATACTCTAATGGTGGCGATCAGCGATTTATAATGGAGCTGAGGGAATGTGGCGGACAATCTGACACTAACCTCACTAGTGACATTAATACAGTGATCAGTGATAATACTATACACTGTCACTGTACTAATGACACTGTCTGGGAAGAGGTAAACATCTATGGCGATCAAGGGGTTAAATGTGTGCCTAACTATGTGTAAAGTGTGCTGATTTTACTACGAATTCTATCAGTTTCCCATCTCTGCTTTGACAGTTTGCTCTGTATGTACAGAGCTCTGTGTTGAATGTCAACATGTGCTGTACACAGGCCCCCCCCCCCCCCAGGTCACCAGAACTAATGTCCCCATTGGAAGATTTCCCATGTATTACTTTTCTGGGGAAAACACAAAATTTGGGATTTTCTACTACTTTCAATGATAACGGTAAACGGGACAAAGAGAGAGGGTGAATCTCCCTAACGGGGACACAGACCGCAATAAAACCGACAATTTAAAAAAGCTTTGCCTTCAGTCATGCTTCAAATGTGCGCTATGGTGCTAGAACTATTGCTCTCACTCTGGCGTTCGCAGTGATACTTCACATGTGTGGTGCAAATCACTGTTTGCATATGCGTGCATTTGCACGTGAGCATGAGGGGGACAGAGGTGCTTTATATTTTTTTAATATCTATTAAATTTAAATGTATTTATTTTACACTTTTTAATGTTTGGTTTTTTTTTGTTTTTCATTGAACACCGCTTGTGATAGCTGTAGACAGTGACTGGTACTCTTTATGGAGAGATTAGGGGTTTATTAGACGTTCTGCCCCCCAAATAAACAGCTGATCAAACATATCTCTGTCTGCTTTCAGAGCTGTACTGGCCAGGGAAACACAGCACTGAAATTGGAGGTGACAAAACCCTCATTACTTCTGGCTTTATTCATCCCAGAGGAAGCAGCCTCACTGGTGAAACAACAGAGATCAGAAATGACAGCAGGAAGGGGGCCTCATTCCAAGCCCTAATAGATCTGTAAAACTGCTCAGATCACTTTTACATGTGTAGCCACTCTGCTTTAAGCAGGAGTGTCAAAATTTAGTTCTGCTTGGCTGTAGTCAGCCATAACTAATCTGTAATCTGTGATTTGTACAGCTTTCCCTAAATTCAGCCTGGTTGTCAGTTCTCTATTCTGCCAGTTGGTAACACTGGTATTAGTGAGAGATCTTACAATGGGTATTTATTATTATTATCTTTTTCCCAGCTCACCACTAGGACTTTCCTTGACCAGTGGTGCATTATGGGAAAGGGTATAAATATTTGGAAGTGGCTGAGTCAAGCTCTCTTCCTCTGGCCAGGTGGAAGGTGTACATGATGGGGCTGCTGATTTAGGTCTGCCTGCCTGAGGGGGCCTGGTAAGTGATGAGGCCTGGAGCTGAGGCCTGGGACTGCTGATCTTCACTGGAATCAGGATGAAGTCCCCTAGAGGCTAATTGACTCTTCTGAAGAAGACTAGGAACAGGATGGAGTCCCATGAAAGCTGGTTGACTTTCCTGAATAAGATTAGGAACAGGATGGAGTCCCATGAGGCTGGTTGACGGTCCTGAAGAAGATTAGGAACAAATGTACTGCCATGGAGGCTGGTTGACTCTCCTGAAGAAGATTAGGAACAAATGGAGTGCCATGGAGGCTGGTTGACTCTCCTGAAGAAGATTAGGAACAGGATGAAGTCCCATGGAGGCTGCTGGACTCTCCTGAAGAAGATTAGGAACAGGATGGAATCCCATAGAGGCTGGTTGACTCTCCTGAAGAAGATAAGGAACAGAATGGTGTCCCATGGAGGTTGGTAGACGCTCCTGAAGAAGATTAGGAACAGGATGGAGTCCCATGGAGGCTGGTTGACTCTCCTGAAGAAGATTAGGAACAGGATGGAGTCCCATGGAGGCTGGTTGATGCTCCTGAAGAAGGTTAGGAACAGGATGGAGTCCCATGGAGGCTGGTTGATGCTCCTGGAGAGAAAGGAAGCTGCTTCTACTAGTGATGTGGCTCTGTGGCTGATTAAGTTGATAATTAAACTCACTTTGTGCCTTATCTACATTAAATTAGCCTCAAAACCTGTGTAATTAATATGTGCTCGGTTTTAAAGGCATGAGGTGGCAACCCTAACTGGAGTTCTGCTTTGTTCTGAGTAACTGCAACCCTAATCCTCTCCCATGGACTGTGAGTAATAAAAAATAATATTGTTTCACCTAAAGGCGACTGGCAGCTATTTTTTTTTACATGTCCCAGTGATCTACCCCTTAGGTGAAATGTCAGCCCATGCTGTCTCTGTGGATACTGGCATAGCTCCAGAGACCAGGGGGGTGCTACATATGAAAGTTGATTACCAGCTGTAATAAACAGTGCTAGGATCATGGCTGCATCTGTATAGGAAGTGATTGAAAACGATGTCTACTAGTTGTTACAACATATTTATTTATGGAGTAATACAGGGGTGTTTTCTGAGTCCTGTGGGCCTGCGTGCAAGATCATAAGTT